ATAGCATGACCCAGTGTAGTGCAATACAGCCCGCCCAACTAATCTGCAATGTTTAGGACCAAATCATTGATGTAACTTCATTAAGATGAATGTAAATCTAGTTGAAACCACCTTATTTTACAGTGGTACCTTCACACTACCTGATTCAGTAGGTCCAACTCACTAAAAGCAAGTTAGCTCAACAAATATGCTTCATGCTAAAAGACAGCTAGTTAATCGTGTGGAAATCCTTTCCATTATTTTATGACGTTAATTCAAAGACATATTTTCAAGCGTTAATCAAGCATTTTAAGATAGCACTAGGTGAAAGTGTAGGAAGAACACTCAACAATTAGAAAAGGTACAACAAATTGTATTTTCAGAATTGTTATACATCGTTTTTTTACACAGCACAAAACACAGCTGAGTTGGACATTGAAATAAAAAAACAACTACAAAAAGGTTACAGTTTCATTTCCCAGCCAATTCTTTACAACATAAAACATGTCAGTATAGTTGCTCAACTTAGAGAACCGTAACAATATAAATCTTTTCTACTGCAGACTTTAAACACTCATTTTCCATATGAAACTTTACTCAACTTAGCGGTGAGTTTCATATTGAGAACTTGTGCTTTCTTTGATAAGTTCTTTCCATCCAATTTCATTATTATTTTCTGTATTACTTCAAAGGTATGCTTGAGTTACTGAGCAAGTTGAGTGCTGAACGCACTAAACTTGAGGGTAGCTCAAGTTTAGTGCGTAGATTAGTCCCAGCAGCATCACTATTGCAGAAGATACACTGCCCAAGCTGTTCATAACTTCCACCTCCTCCAGGACAATCCCAACATCCAGATGTGCATCGGCAGCCTCTGCACCCTCTGCTCAAATGACGATTCCGAGGACAGCCTCGGCTTTGGCCATTTCTGCGCATTCATCAACGTCCTAAGGGAGTTAGGGAAGGGTATTGGGGGAGAGACAATTCACATGTAATTAAATAAATAAATTAAGATTGACATTGATTGAGTCACTCATGGACCTTAGTTGGTGAAAGTATTTTAACAACTCTTAGGAGTTCTATTGTAAACACAAAGAGAATTTAACATACCATGTACTCCCTCACCAGCTTCTCTGGATCTTCATTTAGGTACACACAGACATTTGAGGATGCACTCTCGTCTGACCTCAGCAGTGTCTTCCTAAATATGCAGATCAAAAAACAATGAGAACAATCTCCAAACTCCAGCAGTATAGGTTCACACACTTGAAAACATAGCTGCATTCAAAGGAAGTCACAACAAAAGTGATCAGTGGCTTGCAGTCTATTTGAAAGATATTTAAAATTGTTAGTATCCCTTCATTATGCCATGACTAAAATGGAGTTTAACATCTCATTTAAACATCTAACTGAAGCTGTTAGAGGTTTAAATAAAGACATGAATATATCACCAAAGAAATATGTGAAAAGTACAGAATGGTCAACACAGTCTATATCCTTCTACTTAAATGAATATGCAAAGCATTCCATGTCTTACAAGTACATGGACAGTCTATGTGTGGGCATGGATAACGTCGCATATGCCGGTGTTTAAGTGTAAAATGTTTTAACAGGTCATATCTACGAGACAGAGAGAGACTACACTCCTTACATTTCCACATCCCCACGCAAATAAAGACAAATAAAACAGACTGGCCAAATAAATGTTTAGCTGAACTCTAGCTCTATAAGCTCTCTAACACTACATTCAGTCACTTTAGATCTGGCAAAACTTACTATTAGCCACTGAAATCTATAACTTGATAGCCGATGAGCCCCTTGACCAGTACTTACGCAGGTGGATTACAGACAGGTGATGTTCTGAAAGAGATCAGATATATTTTCAGCCATTAAAATATGCAATTCATACTGAACTGAGTTGTATCTTTTAGTACAAGTCCCTTGAATGCCTCATGAATATAACCACTGGACACTTGTATGCAAGCACATATGTGCAGAACAATGGTGAATTGAACATGGTAGAAAGCAATAGTAACAAAGGTCAAAATGAGCACAATCAATCAACACAAAAAACATCAACATTTCAAAATTAAACCAATGAACTTCAATATTGTTTCTGAGCTACAATTATTTGGGGACAACAAAGAAGAGTCCAAAAAACCCCAACATCTTTACAGCAGAGGAATATGTATTTTAAAGAAAAAAAATAGAAAGCTCAAGTCTGTAATAATGGATAATCCATTGAGAGTTTTAGCCTGACAAAATATACTAGAAATCCATAACTAACAGGTATTTTAGGAACATTTAACAAAGCTCAGAAAGCAATGCTTTCTGCAGGTTTCACCGACTGAAATGTAGGACTTTTTATTACCATAATTAATTAAGAATCTCGATGATGATAGAAAGGTACCAAAGTGTGTGTGTGTGTGTATCTACATTTACCTCCATAGTAACATTACTGAAATAGAATTAAAATAGTTAAAAATAGACTGATGTTAGATCTGTGTGTTAAAAATCCACTAAACCTCCAGGGAGCTCAGGAGGAGCAAAACTGTGACATTTCCGGGGTCCATTTGTGTCTCTGGCAGCAGCTTTGTGACCCTTACACTACATATGGCTCTGCAGAGTTTTTTCGCACAGAATGTACCTAACATGGTGCGGCGATAAATGTAAACAAAAAGCTATCTGCCTTAACCTAACCGACTTAATCTACAGAACATGAAATAATGTGACACAAGTATGGAACAAGTAGAAAATGGTGCAAATGGTAGAGAAATTTTAAGTTACATATTTTTATATGGATTTAGATGAAAATAGTTTGACTCTTACCTTCTTCAAATTAAGTAGATGCACGCCAGGAATCTCCCCTCTGCCCTTGAAAAAACCCAACAAGGTGCGAGCCAGTTATCTCGCGTGATTTTCCGTAATCTCTTGATGTCGCTGGATCCTCTTCAGCGGGAGATGAGTCTGACACAATAGCGCTTTGGAACTGACGTCACTGTGTTTTTTTTTTATTAGATTAACTTTGACAAATATTGATATTGAATAAAATAAAAAAAACATATATATATATATATGTTTAAAAAAAAAAAAATATATATATATATATATATATATATATATATATATATATATATATATATATATATATATATATATATATATATATATATATATATATATATATATATATATATATATATATATATATATATATATATATATATCTTGGCACAGCCAAGATACTGCGCAGGACCCTCAAGCTCCCAGGCCTCTGGTAGAGGCCTGGGAGCTTGAGGAATTAGATGTATTCAAGTTGAGATAACGTCATTCAATCACGTTAGTTCAGTTGAGAAAAAACCGATTGTCTCGCGTGTTCTCGCGTGATATCCCATGATCTCACTCGTTGTCGTCATGACAATATCAGTCTAACTATAATGAATCATGTTAGCTCAACATGATTCAATTTTATAAATGTGAAGTCGTGGAATATCTTGTTTATCCAACATGATTTTATCACGTTTTCGCTTCAAACCCAACATTATTGTGAAAGGTACATGATATTTTTTTGTTAATGTAATACGCCCCGACGTTCTTTTTTTTTTTGGCGGAAGATCTAGCTGACGTAATTGAATCACGTTATCTCACCTTGAATACATTTTATTCCATTTGCGAGAAAAAACCGATTGTCTCGCGTATTCTCGCGTGATATCCCGTGATTTCCCGTAATCTTGCGTGAACTTGCGTGATATCGCGTGATCTCACTCGTGGTCTTCAGCATAGGATCGGTCTGACTATAATGAATCATGTTCGCTCAACATGATTCAATTTTATAAACGTTGAAGTTGTGGAATATCTTGTTTATGCAACATGATTGTATCATGTTTTTGGCTCAAACATGCAATTATTTAGTTAACAGTACATGATATTCTTTTGTTAATGTGATAACCCCTGAGGTTCCTTTTTTACAGTGTAGTGTGGGGACACTGAAACGTCCCGGACATTTCAGGGTAACAGCAAAGTGACAAAGCACTGAAAACATGTAGAGTTGCATTTATGTAAAAATCTAAAATATATTAAAAAGAATTAATAACAACAAACAGGATGGGCAAAAACATAAAATTCTATGTAGTATAAAAGCAGTAAAATGCAGATAGCTCAAGACATTATTATGCAAAATGGTTGGAGTAAAGAAAATTCCATAACACAGTAAAATTTACAGTAAATAGATACATTTTGTACCCTAAGAATATTTAATTGGAAATACAAATTCTTTTTATCATTATCAATTTTACAAAAATATTTATTTTCCTTTTCTTTACTTTTTGCTAGATAAGCATAGTGTATGTTTTGTAAATATGATGGCAAATTACTTAATTAGTAATTAACTGCAAAGAACATATTTAATTGCATTTTTTGTTAGTCTTTTTTAGCTGTTGCAAAAGAAATAGCAATAATGTCTTCCAACATCACGTTTTCAAATTTTCTGTCAACCTTTAACATTTTTTAATACAAAAGCAAAGTGGGTCAACGATGAGCTGCCCAGGCAAACCGTGTATAAAATTATTTATGAGGCTTTAATTTGAAGGAGAAAATAACTTGGTCTACTTAGAAGCTGTTTGCTTTTCCATGATAATTATATCCTTATTTTACAAATTGCGGCAACAAAATTATTTCAATTACTTTTAATTGGTTTAATTTTAACTTATTCTTGTAATTTCTAAATAAACAGAGTAAATCAATCAATCAATCAATCAATCAATCCCATTAATTCAGACACAAATATGCCCCATAAAAAACAAAAACAGTAAAAATAAAATAATCCACTGCCATCTAAAACTAAGGCACCTGTGATACCACACACAAAAAAAACCCTCACTGAGCTTTGAACAGGATTGGTCAAAAATTATGTAAAGTCATAAAATGATGTAAAATCATATAAGTCTTGAATAAAGTAAACAAAAATGGATTGAAGCTAAATTAAGAGTAATTGACTTAGATGTTAAATATTCTTACCGTGACAGAAAACAGTTTTGTTGATATATTCAGGAGGAATCTTATCAACTCCTTTTGGTTGAGAAATTATCCAAATATGAGCTTCAGGAAGCAGATTTCCTTTGATCAGATTCGTTAGCAGCTCATCCATTGATGTTTCTTCCTTCAAGTTTTTTACTTCTTTGTTGTTTACAAAGTCAAGAGGAAGTTTGCATTTTTCCAGACCATCAAGAATGAAACATATCTTTTTCTTGTCGTCTTTGAAAACATTAACTTTTTTTGTCTTGAAGAAATCATTCAGCAGAGATTCCATGTTTTTTTCTTCATCTATCTTTGTATTCAACTCAGTGAAATCAAAGGTCACTAAAGCCTTTATGTGTTTGTTGGAGTTTCCTTCTTCCCAGTCCTTCATGAACATTTTTTTTTGGAAAGTTTTACCAACACCAGGGACTCCTTCCATCAGAACAGTTCGCACATGATTGGGCATATTAGAAGTCTGAGTTTTATTGTTGGTAAATAAATTTTTAGGTGTGATTAGGTTCTTTTTCCCAATTTCAAACATCACTGTCTCAGAAAGTTTTATGTCTTTTTTATGTCGACCCATCTTCTTTGGAATTTCTTTGTCTTCCTTGGCATCTTCTATTATTGAAAATGATCCTTTGGGATTATCTCCTGTAACTTTTAAATTAAATATATGTGAGCCACAGCAATAACCATAACATATTTGATACATTTGATTGACAACACTCTTCAGAATATATTTTTGGCAATAATCTGCTCTCATTACTCATATTTCTTCCTGGCATCCAGCTGTCATCAACATCAAGCAGTCAGAATTATGGAAACTATCTGTATTTCTTCTGGGCATCACTTTAAACTCAGCTGACAAGTGATAAGATTCATTGAGTGTCACCTGAGTAAATTATTATTAGTTTACACCATTGACACTTTTGTCTTGAAACATAAACTATTGTTAAGACCTTGCCAATACTGGTTTAAGTATCAAGATTTGAGGCTTTATAATTTAAGAGGAGAAAAAAACAACATAAACATAAAAAATGTTTGGTCTTCTTAGAAGCAATTAGATTTACTTTCCTGTGAAATTTTTTAATGTTCAAATAGAAACAACAGGAATATTTTGACAACAGCAGGTAAGACACTAATCATTACTACGTCAAACAACACTTCATTAAAATAACACCAACAAAAAAACAAGTAAAAACAAAATCTTACAATTACAAAATAAAATATGACACTGGAAGTTTAACTCTTACAAATATGTTTTCATTAGTAAACAGTTTAAAGCCAATAGAATGTTAGACTTTAAAAAATACGTATCTTTTTAAGTGCTGCTCACCTGTGTCAGCTGGTCCAGATGTTTCAGATTGGTTGTCATTCGAAACACTGCAGACAAAGACAAGATATTTAACTGTTTTGACTTATATTTATTTAAAAGGACATATGTTTACATATTATATTTAAATTAAGACTGGAAAGTAAAGTATTTTATTTGCTCTAGGGCTGAAACTTCATCACATTTATTTTAATATTTCAATGTGTCAGAAATTTTAATGCAATTTAACCTAAAATACCATATCAACGCAAAACATGTTGCAGGAAGTGCAGATGTCCCCATCCCTAATGTCAGCATTCACAGTCCATATTTGTAAAGACATATATTTTCAAAGAAGTGAAATAAATGACAAGAAGGTTCCCAAAACACTTTAAAAGTGAATGGGTGTAAAGCACTTCTAGAATCTGGATAGGTTAACCTAAATCACAGATTAAAGCAATTTAATACAATTGATGTTGAGTTCATATGTCTATTAAAAGATTTTAGCAACAAAAACAGTTTTAAATTGAAAATATTTATTTTGTCAATATATGTTTTTCAACAGACAAAATCGCAATGATGTACTTCTTATGACCAAATGCAAACCGCCATTTTTTTGGCTGGTAAAACAACTTGCTCTCATCAATACGTGTAGGCAGAGTAATAATAACAACTGTATAAAACAGCAAAATGCCTGTAAGAAGATCCTGACTAAGACCCAATTATCTTTGATGTCCCACCTTCTCCAACACCAGACAAAAGCAGAAAACTCTTGAATGAAATGAAAACAAAAAACAAAAACTGATGTGGTTGATTAATCCTAATTGGATAGACATAGGCAGCGTGATGCAACACAGGAAGGCATTTACAATCCAAAACAGTAAATCCAAAAGTCAAAAGAAAAAGAAAAAAAAACTTTTAAAATTAAAGACATTTTATAAGCAAACTTTATTTTGTATGTGAAATGAATCTTCAGCACAAAAACACCACAATATTTTTTGGTAAGCCAAAAGAAATATGAGCACCAACCCTTACAAATTTGTCGAATAAACCAGATTGTGCTTCTTTTTCAGTGCAAATTGTTTGATTTCCTACATTATTAAAAGTAATGTAGGAAATCATATGAACTCATAAAGAAAAGGACATTACTTTTGAATTGAAGCTATCTACATGGTTTTTATTTAAATTATGTCCTGATATTGTTTCCATTTTTTCTATTTTTGATCATTTCACAATGAACATTAAAATAATTTTCTAAAGTCTCAAAATCTATGAACTATCTTTTCACCAGGATTCCCTTACCAAGAAGATAAATTTTAATTAAATTAGGAAATAATAATGGCTTCAAAGAAAGGGCTTTGACCATTTATACCAAAGCATAATAAAGTGCAGACTGCAACAGTATTTCACAAATTTGGCCAATAAACCAGATTGTGATTCAGATTCTTTTTCCAGTGAAAGTTGTTTGATGCATGTTTTTCTGCTTTATTTAAAGTGATCATACAAACTCATAAAGAACAGGGCAAACCTTTTGAATTGATTTTTATTTAAATTATGTCATTTTATCTTTTCTTTTCATGATTATTTCACAATGAACATAATCCTCTTCAGATTAAAATCATTTTCAAAAGTCTCAAAAGCTATGAACTATGTTTTGAGCAGAATTAATTATATGACCATAACTATTGTATATTTTGCTGCTTTTTATTGTGTTTTACTAAAAAATACATGAATATTGCCAAAGTGTCTTACCGTTTATCTTCAGTGTCAAAGCTTACAGGTTCATCCTTGGATCTGTCACTTTTTAAACTCACTGAAGAAGAGTTTGTTGTTTGGTACCAAGGTAAGCTACAAGACAAACAGCAAAATGTTTTTTTTATGTGACAACCTCTAATGAATAAAGATCAGTTTCCCCCTTATACATTTTTACATAATGATTTACATAGGTTAAGTGCTTCTCAGTCTGAAAACATTTGAGAAACACTGACATAAGTGAATTTGGCAGTGATTTATAAAACCAACAACACAGCAAAAACAGATGGGAAAATAAGGTTCCGGCTGTAAGATCTTTGTTTCAAAAACAGCTAATTGGACAGAATTAAACAAAAAACACATTATTCAGTAACTTTGTTCTCTGTGACTATATAATCTTCAATCTGTCGATTTGTTTCTGTAAAACTTACCAACGAGATAGATTTAAATTAAATTGAGACATAATTTGTCTTCAAAGAAAAGGCCTTGACAAGTCAGTTTATCTTAAAGGAGAATAAGTGCAGACTGCAACAGACATCACCCATCAGTATTGGCCTTGTTCACCTGCTTTATTTAAAGTGTTCATACAAACTTATAAAGAACAGGGCATACCTTTTGAATTGAAGCTATCTACTTGATCTTTATTTAAATTATGTCATTTTATCTTTTCTATTTTTGATCATTTCACAATGAACATAATGCTCTTTGCATTAAAATAATTTTCAAAAGTCTCAAAGGCTATGAACTATCTTTTCACCAGAATTCACTATGTTACCATAACTGTTGTACATTTTTGCTGTTTTTTATTGTAAAAATACATGAAATATTACCAAAGTGTCTTACCGTTTATCTTCAGTGTCAAAGCTTAAAGGTTCATCCTTGGATCTGTCACTTTTTAAACAACAAACAGCAAAATTTTATTTTTTTAAGACCAGTTCTAACAAATATAATGCTTTGCTCACCCGTGAAATGCTATTATTATTTTATCTAATTAAAAATTATTGAATTAATGTAATTAAATACAACAAATAAATTAATGATAGAGTGGATAATTTTTATATTTAATCATGCAGAAAAGGATTTTTGCTTTCTGCAAAAGCAATTCATGTCTGTTTTTCTTTTATTGTGCTTGCAAATTACGAAGACCCTAAATGTTATTAATGCACACAACACTTGGTAGTAAAGAACATTCATGTATCTGAGATCATTGGAAAACTTAGGATTCACTCTTTCAGAATCTGTAAAAACTCAAATGTCAACTTGTTTTTGTCGTGGCTGTTCTCATTTTCTAAATAGCTTCAACTTTATCATTAGGATAAACAAAGAGAACAATAATAAGGATATTAAGAGACTAATATTTTTGTTTCAGGTTGTATATATTGACATGTTGTGTTATTGTCAGGGTATTTTCAAATTAGGTGATCCGTGAGCGTTTGTTAGTCGTCCTCAGTCTGAAAATTACAGCCATAAGTAAATTGGGCCGTGTTCAATAAAACCAACAATAAAACAAAAACAGCTGAGAAAGTAAAGTTCAGAATAAAAGATTTTTCTTTCAAAAAAAGCCGTTTGGACAGAATTAAACAAAAACCACATATTATTCATTAACTTAAATCTGTATTACTATATATTCTTCAATCTGTACATTTGTTTCTGCAAATCTTAACATGGAAACAAAGTTTGCAGATTCAGAGAATGGAATTGCTTTACTAATTATTCTTTCAACAAAACAATCTTTAAGTTTTAAGATGTAATTTTTGAAAATCCTTAATAATAATGATCAGTTTATCATTACTTTTTCTTTTGAGGACCTTTTTCAGAAAAGACTTAAAACAAAAAAGCTTCACTTACCTCCCACCTGACATGATCCCATCCTCTTCTGCAGACATTTTGTTTTAGAGCTCCTCACTTTTCAGTAGAGTTGTATTTTATCTTCATAGGTTACTTCATACTAGACATCTTGCGTCAGTATTTTTTTCCTCTTGCAAAAACACAGCCTGAAAAGTAGCAATCTATAAAAAAGGAGAAGATCTCTATGAAAGTCTTCTGACTGATTACTGAAGTCTGTCACCAGATTTATTCCAAAGAGAAAAGTTAATATTTAACACCATTAGTACAAGAACTTTGGCCTTGATATCTAAATCTAAGAACATTTCCTGTTATAAATCTTTCAGTATGAGAGTCAAAGATTAAGCTCAAAACTACCTTAATAACAAACGTCTTACAGGTCATGTCTTCTATGATCTCCTAAGTATTCATTACAATTTAGTTCATGCTAAATTCACATCAAAATGTGTTATTCTGCATTTCCCTTGTGTCAAAAAAATCTTTATTATTTTCTGCTTTGCGTTGTCTTAATGTTTTTTTTTTTTTTGGTGCCATAAAAAGTTTGATCAATGAACTCTGTTTTATTTCTTTAAGAACCAAATGTGTAATATCTTGTTAACACAGTAATGATAACAAAACATGCCGATAGCAGGTCCATGTTTCCTATGTCTTCCAGAATAATATAGAGAATGTACAGTTTCAGGAGACAAATAATACATTCAATTTATTTATTTATTTAGTTCTATTAAGAATGGAATATCCAAAATAAAATAAAATCCTTGGACTTGAAAGTCTCTCGTAATTCTGGAGTAAAATGTAAACGTGGAAGACAGAAGTAAACAATTAATATCTAAGCACATTTTTTAAAAGTATTTTACTTTTAGGTATTCATACTTAAGAAATACTATCTAAAACAATGTAAAGAATATCAACACAGCTGTATGAGGCCATATCTTTAAATTTAGATCAAAAGCTCAAACCCTCATTTTGTGAGATGTGACCAACTCAGATCCTTCAGCTTTTAATATCTAAAAACTGGTTCTGTCCTCGTTTTCTCCCTCCATCTTGACATGGTTGTACTCTCCTCTCTATATTCTTCAGAGTCTGAAATGGATTTAGCAGCTGCTTTTGAAACATAAATGAAACATAAATGAAACATTAACAAACATCCTGAAGTTTAATGCTGCCACAAGAAAATATGTTATGCTTCAATTATTGCCTGTGTTTTCTATGATATGTTTTTATGATGTGAAGCCCTTTGAACTCCCTTGTTGTTGAAATGTGTTGTATAATTAAATTTAATTGACTGATAGATTGTATTCAGCAGGTTGTTTTCCTCTCAGAACAAAGACAGTTCTCTGATCTTCATGGAAAGAGAGATTATGATTCACGATAAGTGTCAATAAAAAATAACAGTATTAAAATACTGGGACAATAAATCCTACAGATTTGTTAATCATTTCATAAGTAAATCACTACAATGATTTACTTATGAAGTGATTTATTTACAATAAGAAAATAAGTTACCAGTTCAGACACTTCTAGGAACTTTTTATTGAAGTTTAGATTGTGGTGTGTTACAGCCCCTGGCCTCTTGGATCTGTGCAGGGTTTTGTTATGCAGGTTCAGTTGTGATGGCTCATCTCCTGATTGGCTACCTGGAAGCTGCAGGAACTACACCCATTGGACCAGAAGAGAACTGCAAGCCACCAGATGTTAATGAGACTCACGTGATCCTATAAAAGGCTCCCGAAATCATTTCCTCATTGGGACAGCTTGTAGGAGGAGGTTTTGCTCTGCTGTTCCCCACTTTTGATTGTGATTGTCTTTGACAATTTTGTGAATATTTTGGTTGTTTGTTCTGCTAGAGCAGGTTGACTTTGCTTTGGTTGTCTTCACAAGCCAGACACTAGTATTTAGGAGGCTTGCTGCTCCCTTTGTGTGTTTGTTCTTTTTTTTATTTTCTTTTTGGTTTATTTGAGTTACTTTAGACTGACCTGTTTGGACATTTTGTGATTTATTTCGCACTTAACCTTTCTTAATGCTGTCAGCCCCTTTCTTTTGTTTTAATTGGATTAAGTTGTATTGTGTCTTGGTTTTGTGAGAACTTTATTTCTTTTTGTAATAAATCACCTTTTTATTTATCCCTCCTATTCTCTGGACAATTTTTATGTTACCGCCCTGAACCCCTAGACCAATAGGGGCGTAACATGGTGATTTTATTATTTTGCGTTGAGCTTACATGCATTTCTAGTTTGTGTAACATTACCTTGTCCTCTATAATCATATGTCCTATTACATTACATGAGAAGACTTATCAGAAAAACTGCAGCAAGTTTTACATCCAATGAATAAAAGTCTAATATTGATTAATTATAGAATGCAAATGTAAGATACACTATTTAGAAGCTTGTTTTTTCACAAGGTTCCTGCTTTTTCTCAGACTAACTGTAGTTGACAGTAGCTGTGGTGTGAATTATATGCATGACTGCATCAAGCTACTTTATTTTAGTTACAGGTAGTTTTATAGTAGTTTTATAGTAGAGACATTTCACTGCAGAGGTTTAGACAAACCACATTCACATGATAATAAAACGTCATCCAAGGATAGCTTCAATTTCAAAGGACACACAGACATGTTCTGCAATTCACATTTTTTATTGCACTCATTATCACTTCCAGCTTTTATTCATAGACATGACCCTGCATGTTTTAGTTTTACTTTAATGCTGAAGCTTATATCCAGTTTTTTAACTTCATTATTTACCAAAGTATTATATTTTTGTTTAATCCATTTAGATTAGTTTTAATGCTGAGGACAAAAACATGATGATATTGTATCTTTCTTATCTATATTTAGATAATTTTTCTCTATATACATTGCATTTGGAGTTAGTTGTGTGTTTGAAAGTATTCCTTTGATCATCAATAAGTTTTAACAAATCTCCCACATTATTTCTTTAAATAGTAAAGTAACATAAAGTGAAAATACATCATTGAAAACATGTGCTCTTAATGTAAAATTATATATTATATATATATATATATATATATATATATATATATATTAATATATATATATATATATAATATATATATATATATATATATATATATATATATATATATATATATAGTCCTGAGAAGCCAGCTCAATGGCAAGAACAAAATCCGTGCGATAAACAGCTATGCCTTGCCAGTAATCAGATACCCTGCTGGAATAATTAGCTGGCCAAAGGAGGAGATAAAAGCCACAGATATTAAGAC